GCATGCAAGATCCTATCATACATAAAATATGATCAGACCTCACATGCAAGGATTCTCTCCTACTTTCTTAGCGATTAAAGAACATGGATCACAGATTATCATCCTTTCGAAGACATTTGCAGGTCTTTGATGAACAATCTCCCCTCTTTAATTCCCATAAATTTACTAAAGAATCGAGTAGGTAAAGAAGGATGAAAACTTTCAGATTTTTTTATGAAAATAGGACAACTGAAAATCATACCTTTTCTTAGAATCTTTAGCAATCCTTAAGAACAGCAGGAACCTTTAAGGCTTGCGAAGAGATGGAATCGATTGGAGGGTGATTGAGATTAGAGAGAGGTGACAGAATTAGGCTGAGAGTTTGGAAATGAGAGTTTTCAAAGAAAAAGGGGGTATTTATATGAAGGCTTTTTAGAGAAGAAATGGGCTGGCCTCTAAAGGCCCAAGCCCTATAAATTTTTTTTCTAAATAATAAAACCCCTCTATAAATTATTTAAACAAAACAACTAAATAAAAGATTTTAAAACTCCACCCTTTAATAACATATTTGGCCAATAAAATGGGACTTTGGAAATTTTAAATTTTTAAATACAAAACTTAAAATATCAACTTTATTTTATTTGGAGCATTTTAAGCCTATTTGGCAGTGCACAAGTTAACTTTGTCAGTTATCCGCCGAAACGTGATCTTCCGAACTAATCTTGGGAATTAAGCGAAACGTTCTCTAATCATCATAGCTAAATCCTAGAAAGACTTAATTCTCAATAAAGATCCTAAAATAAGGTACTAACCTGAAACCCCGAAATGACGGATTGTCACAACCTCGTGCCTTAATTAGTGATTAAGGCACTCACTTCATAAACAACATGTTAGAAGAAGTCCTTGATAAGTATGACATCAAGCATAGGGAAGCAACTGCCTACCATCCTCAGACCAACGGATTAGCTGAATTGCCAAATAGGGAGATAAAAGGGATTTTGGCCAAAGTAGTCAAGCCACATAGAAAGGATTGGGCCTCTAAGTTAGATGATGCATTATGGGCCTACCGGACTGCTTACAAAACCCCTATTGGTATGTCTCCTTATAAATTGGTCTTTGGAAAAGCTTGTCATTTACCTGTGGAATTAGAGCACAAAGCCTATTGGGCCATTAAGGAACTCAACATGAGTTTAGACGAGGCCGGAAGAAAAAGGACTTTGCAGCTTTGTGAACTGGAAGAACATAGGAATTTTTTCTATGAAAATGCTAAGCTTTACAAAGAAAATACCAAGAAATGGCATGATAAAAAGATTCTTCCAAAAGATTTCACAGAAGGCCAAAAAGTCCTATTGTTCAATTCAAGGTTAAAGTTATTTCTGGGAAAACTGAATTCCCGATGGACCGGACCTTTTGTTGTTGCCAAGGTATACCCTTACGGAGTTATTGACCTGATAGATTCGGAGAGGGGTAATACTTTCAAAGTAAACGGGCAACGAGTGAAACCTTTCTTTGACTCAATGGTTCCTACCCAACCTATTGAAGTTATTTTTCTAAAATAAATAGTTTGTTGTAAATATTAAGTATTTATATATATATATATATATATGTATTTCCTATAAAGTATTATATTTTTCTTTTATTTTCATTTAAAATTTTTAGTTTATTTTCTTTTATGATTTCTAATATATTAGGTTTATATTTAATTTAAAAAGTTTGGATTTTGTTTTAAGTAATCTTTGGGCCGACGATTGTTTTAAAATAAACAACCCACAAACTCTGGTTTTGAGTAATCAGGCCGCCCAAAGCAATTTTTAAAACCTTCTATGTTTATTGTTAACAGGCCAAAAGCAGGAAGACTAAATGATAGATCTATGTTTCATAGGCCTAAAGTCATGCAACCCGCGAAGATGAAGCCCAGCTATGAAGCCCACGCTTGGTATGGTCTGTCAAGAATCCCGCATAATCGTACCAAGCCACGTCTGGTAACCGTCCCTTCATCTCCAAGCTCTCAACTCAGGCGAAGACCTCCATCAATGTACTCTCTAAATCAGACCAAGAACAGTCAACAATAGCTCATCAAATATCCATTTTCGAGAAGGACAAGACTTCATCGAACTGGCAGTGTTAAGGAAGGTACCATCTCTGACTTACCACTCGATAACTGTCATTGATCAGAGAAAGTTTTGAAATTTTCGAAGCTACAATCTTGGAGACTAAGTTTAGAGGCTTTAAGAACTCCTAACCACTGTTCATGCACTATTCGGGTTGGTCTCAAGCCACTGTTCACTTTTCTTTGCTACCAAAAATCATTCCCCTATTCTATCTATATGGCCATTATCAAAACTAGAGCAAGAAGAAGGGAAGGAGAATCTGATTCTATGCCCCCTGTGATCAACAATGGTCAGTCTAGTGAAAGTGAGGAGGAACCCATTGATGCCATTCCCTTGAGGCAGGTTCCTTTTGCTAAAACTAGACCTCAATCATCCACTCAAACTCACACTCAAGCTACTGTAATTGTGAAGTCTGAGCCACAGCCTCCTCCACAATACCAATTTGGCCCTAGAATGACCAGAAGTAGAGCAAAGGGTCTAACCAATTTATAGCCAGTGAAGCAGAAGAAGGGCACTGTGATAAATTTATCAGATGATAGTGATTCACCATCAAAGATGCATGGTGTTCAGGGCAGTACAAGTAGAGCAACACAAGAGGATTCAGCCTCTTTAAATGAAATGGCAGATGCAGCTACTCAAGTAAGCACTCAGAGCATACCTTCAACCATCACAGAGAGGCTCCAAACAGGTTTGAGAATCACTAGACCTTTTACTATGGATTTGTTGTCTAGCTTTCCTGTTTATCCTCAAGCCAGTGTGGGCTTTATGTTGAGAAAGACTGTAGATGAGGCCATGGCAGCCTCTATTGAAGTTTTGGGACTAAAGACAGCAACTTGTGCCCCTGCTATAGCCATGATCCGAACTCAGCCTTCTATGGCTGCCCAAGCACCTAAAAAGGGAAATTCATTCCTTAAAAATTCTGTTAGTGCTGCTTTGGCAGCCACGGACAGGATGATTAGGAGGGAACCAGAGTGGGAACCAGAGGGTGATCCATCCCATGCCCAACCACTTGTTATCACCACCCATACACCCACCTTCACTAGAGACATACCCATTGAGTTCAATTTCATGACCTCACCACACTTCACTACTATTCCTGTTTCATCATCTACTGTAGAACCTACCTTATTTGACCATACAACCGTATCTTAAACAGTTTCTAGACCACCCTCTATTGAAATAGTTACCACCAGCCCAATATCTTGACTAATCCAGCCTACAACCACACCATCTACACCCACTGAACCTATTATCCCTTTGCCACCTACTGTATCCATCCAAGAACTAGACTTTGTCTTAGGTCTATCACCCACTAATCCCAGCCTTACACCCTTTGAACACAATGAAGACCCCTCTGACCCACAAAACACCCCTGTCACTCAAACACCACCACTCTCACCCTACTCCACTCAACCATTCATGCCTAGTCCAAACCAACCCACTAGCCCTATACACTCTGGGACTCATGACTACTATGAGGGTGCAAATTTTGCTCATCATAGCCCTGACCATAATAGCCCTCATGTTGAGCAAGAAAGGGAGGAGGTTGATAGAGGTGCAAGTTTAAGAAAGAAAGTGTCAAGGAAGATAAGAATGGGCAGAGTTGAAACCAGAAGTTCAAAGAGGAGGAGAGAGGACAGTGAGAGATCAGAGACTGAGGACAGGACATCTAGAAGAAGAAAGAGGCTAGACCAACAATTTGAGGAAGGGCCGGGTATATTTTTAAAGCCCAAACACTTGTTTAGCACACCCCTAGCAAGAAAAACCTACTTGCAATTTTCTGAGAAAGTAGGGGTGGTACAAAAGGGTTTTTCAAAACAATTATTGTTGGCCAATTCTTCCATCAAGGCCACAATAGATTCCTTGGGTTGGGAGATTTTGTGTGACACACCTAACCAATACAATCTTAGTTGGGTTAGGGAGTTTTATACTGAAGTAGCAGTCACTGATGGGGTAGACTTGAGAGTAAGAAAGACCCCTGTCTCTTATTCACCCAATGCCATAAATGACCTACTAGAGCTTATACCACCTTCATACTCTCAGCTAGATAGGTTAACTGCTGGGTGCTCTGATGAGAAGTTTGATTTGATCTTAGCTAGGATATCCAAGGAAGGGGCTGTTTGGAGTTTCAAGGGTAGGGCTAGGCTTCTAAAAACTCAATATTTTAAGCCTGAAGCCAATTTATGGTTTTATTTCATGAGCCAGTAGCCATGACACAAATCTGTGCTTAGAAAGAGTTTTAATCCTTTATTGTATCCTAGAGGCTAGACCATTTGATGTTGGGAGGATGATATGCTCCAACATAAAGGCATGTGTGGAGAGGACAAATGGTAAGTTGCTATATCCCTCCTTGATACATAGGCTTATGCAGAAGGCCCAAGTCCTAGCCTTGCCCAAGGATGTGATGTCTATAGAGAAGACATCCATTGATAAAAAGAATTTGGATGGACTGATGAGGGTAAATGCAAAAGTACAACCAGATGCACCCACCTCTTCCATGGCAGCTCTAAATGATGAATTGTTGAAAGCCATGGATGATCATGCCAATGCTTTGAAGAAATCAATAGTAAAGAAGCACCACAAATTGATGAAGAAAATGGATGACTAGAAGAAGGAGGTAGACATCTTGAAGAAAGAAAGGGTACAATGGGCTGAGTATAAATGCAGAAGGAGAGAATGCTCAGAGCTGCTGCCAAGCATGGGAAATCAAAGAGTGCAGTCAAGCTCCCACCTCCACCTAAGTCCATCTTACTACARCATTCAGACTCTCCTACTCARTCTGAGTAGGACARGTTCTAACTTCTAAACTCTTTGTATATATTTCCKTTTTTGTTAGGCATGATCATTTAGTGTTTATTTTTGCTGTTTTAAAAACCTTGGCAGATTTGCTGTTTTTATACATATAGTTTACTGTTTTTAGCTGTTGTTTGCTGGTTCTAACAGCCTTGAGATGCAACTGTCAATTTTGTTGTTTTAAAGCCTGAAGCATGGTTGCTTTTGTCCATGCTAATTCCTCTGTTTTGATAGTAGTATTTTAGGTCCTTACTAGTCTAGTTATTCTTCTGCTGTTTAGAATCCATGTTATTGTCTAGATACTGTTTGGTATTTATTAGTCTAGTTGTCCTTACTGTGTATTTATTTTCTTTTGATAGGGGCCTTGGACTTCTGTAGCCATGCTCGTGCTCTGTAGGTCTAAACTCCTTGAAGGGGTATAGTTTGGCATTCGGCTCCACAGAGGGCAATCTTTCTGCCAGAAGGTCTCCAAAAGCCAAACCAAGGAAGCGTTGTAAGATCAGGTTTGGCTGGTTCATGTCTTCCTTGGCCTTCTTTTGGGCTTGGACCTTCGTCTTCTCCCCTTTGTGAGTGGCGCACTTCTTCTTGATGAGGCCGACTATGTCCTCGAAAATCAATTGCGCGTAGTCCAGTGGCAGATTAAAGTAGATGCCATACATTATGGACAGCATAGCGTGGGATGATTGGTCATGGCTACCTACCTTCCCTATGAGGCAGCAATTGATGATGGAGAATAGAGTGTTCCACACAGGGGGTAGTCCCTTACGCTTGAACTGTGTCCTTTTGGTAATGGGGGTCGCGTAAGAATGAAACTCCAGAAATTTGATTAGTTCTTCATCAGTGGGAGTAGGAGCATAAGCATTTAAGTTCAGTTCGATTAAAGTAGGCAAATGGAGGGCTGTTCTCAAGGTTTCCACATTTAGTTCGAGAGGAACAAGTTATTTGTTCACTGGATGAGAGGCATAACCAACAATGGTTAGCCCAGTATTATCGAGGGTGGTTATGTCGGCACTCAACAGAAAATGGGTAATGTAAGTTTTAGGTGTGGGTCGAGTGGCAGTCAAAGCATAGTAGAGAGGGTGGTTTCTTAGTATTTCCATTAGTGTGAAGGTATTATCAGGAAATCCTGAGGGGACGAAGAAATAGTTATTAGGTTTTTTGACTAATACGATCTTTTCGGATTTATTTTGCACGAAGGACAGGGCGTGCGAAGTTAGGGCTTGAGCTTGTGTTATCTCATTATCGCTTGAGGCGTTAACAGACTGAGCTGAGGCACTTGAGGAAGACATTGTTGAAGGAAGCTTTGAGAGTTGCAGGTTCGTCTGTGTGTTTGAGAGGTTTTTGAGAGCGTAAGGTTTTAATTTGGGGGGAAGGAGGGTATTTATAGGTAAGGAATTTCAAAATTGAACCGTCTGCTGTACGAAAGRTCGTGTGATGAGTGGATTTGGGTGAAACGGTTCAAAAAAGTATGACACGCCGTATTGGGAAGATGCGCGATTGATGATGTGCTCTTCCTTTTACTGACACGCGCGTGTTTGTTCTTACCCTTAACCATAGAACCACGCGCACCATATAAATAGACAAGAACTATTAACAGAGTTCTGTCAGAGGCCTAAGGGTTATAAAGCCTCTGTGATATGTGACGGGCCTTCTTA